GGCTACTACAAATTGTAGGAGTGTTACAGTTCGCACCCAGCCGTCCACTCATCAAAGTGGAATCTGAAGAACCACACCACCTGCTTCCACCCATTCCCTGGTTCATTCTCAAACTTAAAATACAAATATAGTGTATGCATTCTATATTGATATGTCCGAGATGTCCGATGTAAGATTTCTTAATTTGGAATATATGCTAAGACGGCAGCGATAATAATAATTATTATAATAAATCAAGATCGTAAAATGTATGCCTGTATGCAGTCGACCAAAAGGTCAACAGAAGCAGAAACGCTGCTTGTTATCCACTGCTTTTTTTTATGTGTTAAGTCACTTTGAATGGCAAACGCCGGGCCAGCATTATATCCCATTAAAAGTGTGACGTTTTTTTTTCTGTTTAGAATAATATATCAACAATATATCATCAATATCTTGGAAGAGCTTGATACTTGTTTGAGTTTGGTTGAATGACCTCCTTTTATCTAACTAAAACGAATCAAATTGGAATTCACGGTCATTAACTGAATAATAATTTAGACTTATTGCTCCTGTGAACGTATGCGATATCTGGTAAGCTGCCATTTTTAAAATCCTATCGATGTTGCAAGTCAACAGTGTGCTAATGTCATTTAAGCTCCTTTTGAAACCTCATAATAATTCATTTTTTTGCTCCTATACAAAGGCAGAACTCTCCTGAAATAATTTTACCATATTGATAATATATTTTGACATTCAGATCTCCCTGCAAAAAAAGGACAGTAATAATACGCCTATGATAATCAAAGCTGATGTGAAGTGGAGGGGAAGTAACTATATTTAAGATAAATTAATTAAGACTACATTGGATTTTTTGGTTATAGTATGAAATGTGTTGATAGTACAAAGTGATCAATAAGGAAAATCTATTCTCGATCTTGTATATTATAACCAATATACCCCGGGATTATCTTCTATAACCATACTATCTTTTGAGCTGCCAACACAATCTACAGCAAGTTATACACCTGTAAGCAAGTCCTTTGATAGCTGACCAACTTGACTGAAACTCCAATGGCTAAGTCGGCTTAGCTGCTGGACTTGACTTCAGTTTACTACTTCATGTGGTTTAAGTAGGATGTACACCTCTATTCATTTCATTTCATTTTCATGTGGTTATACATTACAATGTATAATGACATTAAATACTTCAAAATTAAAGCTGAAACAAAGGAAAACAACATGGTGTTTTGGGAATGGATTTAAAATAGCAAACTTTTATTTGGTATAGAACAGGTCAAGCTGGATATAGCTTTACGTAATGGATATAAATCCACAATGGGATAATCTCAGGGATAATACTATTTAAGAACTATAATATTTATGAAAAACATTGCCAGACTATTACAAGATAATCCATTTTATACTACCAAATAATCTAACATGTTCCACAAATAGCGTGGATTAGGAAAGTTCAAGGCTAAGGTTTTCAGGAAGTAAACTGTTATGTCTTGCAATGTTCTTTTAACTATAGGTAGTTCGATCTCCATTGAAATAAGGGTTCACGTCCTGTGTTTATTCTTCTTATTTGGCGAGTAGAGAAAGCCGTGGAAATCTGCAATGGGGTCGTTTTGCGAACAGCAGCATCACTCTTATATTTCGGGGATCTCCGCATGCGATTGTTTGTTCTGAAAATATACTAATTTTAAGTATGGCTGAATACGGTAAAAATGTTTTAATTGGTAAATTTACACACTCGTATACAAACCACATATCAAATCCTACTACTAAGGACAAGAGAAGAGTTACCAGAATTATCATAACTTTACATGTTCCAATATTTCAAGAAATGTAATTAGTGAAAATGTTAACAGATTCCACGTTGGTCAGTAAACTTTCTTAAAAGCGTAGATAAACAAATAAATGTATATTGCAAATGTGTTGGTTTTGGCTGCTTAGAAATGTAGAATTTTTCGCGTAGTCTTTGATACACCATTGAAAGGTTTCTGCATAATAATCTACAAAGTTCGTCAAAAAAAAAAATCTTTCGTCTTTTCAAGTCACTTCGGCAAGACATCAAATCGTTGGCAGTTAAGTAATAAACAGGGCCAGTCTCTCTCAAGCTAAAAAAGTGATCCCAATTTAAGAAATCCAGTAAACTGCTTTGTTGGACAGTTCAATTTAGATTTGGTTGTTCAGTAAATTAATGTCCTAGCAAGGTTTTGAGAAACTGGCCAGGGTGATTTGGTCCACTTTTTTGTCTGCATTTAAAGGAATGCTACCTCTTAATATGACCAAAACATTTAATAACCAAAGTTTTAACCTGCTATAATCCATTAAACAAGTAAATTTTGAAACACGCTTAGAAGCGTTTTTTTTTAAATAACTACTTGGTTTAATTTATGGTGCTATTCAGAGATTCTATTCTTTAGTCATGCTTGGCATCTGCCAAGTTCAACTGATGAATATATACTCTTATTGACCAATTTTATGACAATTCTGAGAGGGAGTATGCCTCTAATATTTAACTGCTATAACTCGTCGTCTACATGAAATCACTCTTTCTATTCTACTCACACAATTGATATTACTAATTCATTACTCAATAATCAATAGATAGGAATCACACAATCTTTTAATCATGCTAGGGCTAGTTCCATATTCTAAACTATGTAGGTCTTATTCCATCATTTCACATCTTCAAAAGGAACTGAATTTGAAAGTCGAAACCAATGACCTGTGTCGGGAATAAGGAATAAACGCAAGCACAATTATCCACTACACATACCTACTATCATTCTTATATATGTTATCAAAACAAACTCAATATATTATAATATTATTTACAATTCGATTTATGTAACACTGAACTATTTGTTTCTGAATGAAATTAATCTTGAATACTCTCAGTATTGAAACCAAACGGTCTACCGTGAAAGTTCCGATAGTTCTCTGCACAGATTCAGCTTTACTGACACGGCAGAGGATTGCCGAACGCATTGAAACAATACCTTTGAACTTGCAAAATAGTACAACTAGTCCAATAAATCTGAAAGGTCTTGCAATGGTATTGCTAAGGGTGTGGTCGCGAATTTTTGTCGCCAACTCAAATCTTGAGAAAAATCCCGCGTGTACCCGCGTTCCCAAGACAAGGTTATCCCGACAGAAGTTAAAACACCAAACAAATTTGATATTTCTCGCATTTTATTTTATCGTCATCATCCAATCAGATTCATTCTCTTTCAATTTCATGACCCTCACGTGTTTATCGACATAGTGGAAAACGACAAACTGGAGAGTTTTGTCTCCTCGTGTGCCCGCAGTCGGGGGGACTTGACGGGACTTCAGTTGGCGACAAAAATCGACGACCTAGACGTAGACCGTTCGTTTACCCGAGCCTTAATATATAATGACATAAATTAAAGACAATAGGAAACATTAACAAGGGGAACAATAGACTTTAAATGAGGCCAGGCATGACTTGAAACAAACAAGTCTTAGTATACAGCTTATGTCATCTTGTAAATATATTGTTGTCTCAAGACTTTGTATCATGCTGTGCAATAAGGATGTAACATGAAAAACATGAGTGATCTACAAACTATGTCATTTAAATAGGTCATATACATACATATTGAAGTTCTTTACCTTTTTAGTAAGCTATTATAACTTGATAACACTTTTGACAGTATTGGGTAAAAGATGAGACTATTTTGTTTTCGGAGATATTTGGGTAAATTGATAAACAATAATCATGAAATATTAATCCCTAAAAATCAGACTTTAGTTTTAATTCAGCACGGTAGCTAATTACGTAAACAATGATATTCAGCAGGAATCGTGTTATTTGACAAGAACCATATCAACAACTCTGCAAAAACACTTGCTAGAAGGGAGAAACCATTGTACTAACCAGACTAATGAGTTAGCTGGAGGAAAACTAGTGGTCACCTCATTTAAATATAGCCAAATAACTTTAGTTACTTCTCATGATTTTTCTTTAATTTAATTTGTTATGTAACAAGATCAGATTTAATGAAGTTCAAAATCTAATAATTTTTTGTGGACAAGAATGACTTAATTCCAGAGCTGTCCAGATCAGTTGTTAAGACATAGAAGTAATATCTATATATCAAATTGGCTTAATTTTTTTGTCTCAATACAAAAGGTTTCTCTTTATTGATCATCCACATATACTTGGACTCAGATGTTAGTAGATGGGAAATGAAAAAGAATATTCTATAACTGACATTTCTATTTCTTACGGACATTAGAGGTCAAATTTATTCATGACCATATTCTAGAGCTAAAGGTCATTAAAATTATTGATAGATATTCATCATATTTATGATTTCACTGTATATATCATACTGAGCCATCATGAAAAAAAGTCATAAATCAATGATTATGTAAATTTTCACATTAATGACCTGAGCTTCATTTAATTCAAATCTAATTATATCTAATGATGTATCAGACATGGCCTAACATGTCAATTCATTGATGTTTTTCACCAGAAAGCCAAATATAAACTAATATTAATCTAGAACCACACTTCTAAATGTCTAATCTTGGCTGCCATTGCTGGATATTTGAAAGTACCAACACCTTATCTAAGATACACAGATGCTTGTTGTAATCAAAGCCTAGAATATTTTGACAGTAAAACTTCAGAGATCAATGACCAATGACTATTGAAAGCTTGTCAAATACGACCTTAATTCATCAATATAAGATTCCATACTAAATATTGCATACTGTAACTAAATCAGATTTTATATAAAACGTATTATAAATTCTATTTTGAAGTCATTAATTTTAATATCTAATCTATAAGAAGTATACCACGTAGTAGAAGCATTTAAAATATTACTATCAGAGCTGATGTATCAATGATAAGGTGTCTTTTAAAAGCTACACTTCCATGTAGACAATATTAAGAGAAAAGATTGTTGAGAGTTGACAAAATGCTGAGAGTATAATATCAGCTATATATCTAATGTACAATTTACAAAAGAGTTGGTGTAAAAATGAACTTAGTGTTAATTTAATAATATACATAAAAAATAATATTTAGAGCACTTGTGATTATAAATAAAAAAAATCATTTCAATAAGACCAAACATACAATTTCTTTTCTTAAATTAAAAAAGTAATGATACTCAAAATTCCTCATTCTACCATTCTCCTCCCTTTCATTCTACTACCACACACACGGAAAGTGTACAGGTTGCTAGGTATCTGGTAAATTGGTTACCCTAGCAACTACCACTGTGATGTCATCAGGTTTACCACCAGTAAGTTCGATACCAGCATCAATTGCTGATAAACTGAAGGGAGACAGGTAATTAGGGTCAAATGATAGGTTCAATGCTTTCTCAGCAATGTCTGTTGCAGTTTTCTGAACAGCTTCTTTAGGTTCACTTTTAATATCTTTAAGTTTTGCAACATAATCTACTAACATGGAGTCTGTCATATTGTCAAACAGACCATCTGTTCCTAATAGAATAATATCACCTTCCTCTACTTTATGAGAGTTACTAGCAGCCATGGCCGGACTGTCACTGATAACTAGACCTTCCTGTGCAGGTGGTACGACTGAAAGTTGGTAGGGAGTATTAAAATAATGCTGTTGTTCATGGGAGCGATGGACTACTTCGCGATCACGAATGAGCAAGTAGCCACTATCACCCAGGTTGGCTGTATAAATTGTTCGCTCATCACGATGTAAAGACACAATACAAACAGTGCTACTACCAATCAATGGCATTTTTTGATTCATTAACTCCTCGTAACAGTCTTGGATCATGCTAGCAGGTGCTTGTGGACGGCAATGACCTTCACGGACCATTCTTTCACATGTAGCCATTAACGTTCGCGAAAAATTTGAAGGGTCCACTCCATATTGTCTCCAGCCACCTACTCCATCTGCAATTCCTATCACATCTGAGATTTTATTCCTTGAAATAAAATAGGCATCATCTCCAAATGCCCAATTTTGGACAAGAGATGCCTTAGGCCTATTCACTGCCTGAAGAGATTTGGAAAACCCTGAAGTACCAGTTATAAACTGGAGCGGTTGTTTATGTATTTCCGCATGTGAGCTTTAATCTGATTTTGAAAATCAGAGTGAATTCCTGCAAAAAATGCTCTAGCAACCAACCTTCCATATACAGCAACTGACTGCATGGCGTAGGTTATTTAGTTCATCCCAATAGAAAAATCATTTTGAATTGAAGTACTAATATGCTCTCTAAGGTATATACTCTGCTTAAGTGGTATGCATATTTGGTTGGCCTTGAATATAATATATCCTGTGCTTGACCCTAATCTGTACTGTAAATAATAGAATCTATAATCACAATTATGAACTTAATATGCAGATCACAAAATTATAAATGCCAATTATCAGACAACAAATTTCTGAGTCATTTCAAAACAAAACTGTAGGCCTATAAGAGGATTCCTGACAATGGCATGGATAAACACGTGCTGAGTCTTGAACGAAGGAGAACGAAGTACGCAATTAATCTGATGTAACGTAATTCCACAGTCCTGTCTCTGCCACACACTGTATCCCGTCTCAATAACCATCAATTCTATTATCTTTTCTTTCAAAAACGGATTTAATTCACCCCCAAACTTTCACTTTCAGTTTCACTGCGTTGTCCTTCGTTCTTTCACAAGTGACCTCTAATAAAGCTTTGTTACTTCAACTACGGTATATTCAACTAAACTGATAAAATACGGGTTCATGAGGTTTATTGATCGAGATTTGCATAACAAAGATACTCTTTCATCCAGACTAGTTTAACTTATTTATAATTATGGAAGCCCGCATGGGCCATCAACAAACCTGTATTGGATAATAAGTCACCTTCCAGTACAAATACAGAAAAAAATCACAGACATCCAGATTTGCATTTTTAATGAGATATTGGGTGTGGAAGAATACAAAAGAATTTATTACTTAAACAAATTTTGTGTCCCTTCGAGAGTATTATAAATGTGCGGCCATTACAAAGAAAAGAATTATTTTTTTTTAGCATTTAACGCCTTCCATACAATCGTATATTCGAACATCAAGACACGAAATAAAAAGGTTTTATAAAACATGGTTTCGTATTTTGAAAATGGTTAGTTTGGAGAAAAAAAAAGAAGAAATTTTTCAATTTAAACAAAAATATATACACATTTATAAGTTAAAAGGTAGTTTTTTGTTTTATGTAACTGATATCTAACAAAAAAAGATTCTATGATCACAATTATAATTATTCTGCGCACCTTGCGGATATGCAAAACCGGAAGTAGTGTAAATTGACAAGTAAGAAAACAAAATAAACTTTGAAGATGTAGTTTCCGAGATTTCGACGAATTTTAAACAAATTATTGACCGTCAAAAATAGAAATGGCAGCAGCAAGCTCAGAGGAGCCGTTCAATACATTTGCTGACGCAGTAGAAACGGTAGAATTGACTGTTCAGACTGGACCAGGGTGGGATCCAAGCCTGAGTGGTGATTGGGACAAAGTGAAAGCCAGTCCACAATGTATAATGAGAATTAAAAGGTTAGTATAAATAAACCAAGTACTATTGATCCAATCCGCAAAATGAAACCCTAAATCCAAAACAGCAAATTGAGAGAAAATTGGTGGCATTTTTCACACAAGGAAGTATATCAATCATATATGCAAAGATAGTAGGCTTATTGAATCTAGGAGCCCACTATTATATAGTTTCATATGAAAATATTGAATTGAAGCAGACATTCATTTCTTCAATGGCTACATGTGATTGACGACATATTTATTTACTAAGATGCTTGCAGCTGATATTTTTCATCAAGTTTGTAACCTGATAGAAGCTGCCTACTGTATTATAAAAGTAGTAGGCCTAAACTTAGACAGTAATAAATCTAACAACATCTGTGTAAGTATTCACATTAATCATTGATTCATTTCCATGAGGTTAAGCCTTGTCACGTTTAATGTTTATTCTGTTTTAGAGACATAATGACAATATATAAAGAACCACCACCAGGCATGTTTATAGTACCAGATAAAGATGATTTAACCATTATACACAGTCTGATAACTGGACCATTTGATACACCATATGAAGGAGGGTTTTTCTACTTCTTGATACGATGTCCACCAGATTATCCTATCCGTCCACCCAGAGTTAAACTGATGACAACTGGGGATGGCAGGGTACGCTTTAATCCTAACCTTTATAAAAATGGAAAAGTTTGTTTGAGTATATTGGGGTAGGTACTGATACTTAAAGGGACAGATGCGCCATTTTTTTTACCAATCATACCTTAGTCTCAGACAAGGGAAATTTTTCAACTAATCCAATCTGTAATAGTGTTCACAGCTCACCGTCGAAATTTGAGCCTTCAAATCCATGCGTGTCTAGAATTATACGCGATTGAATGTTAAAGGGACTACTCATCAATTTAAGATACTCTGTGAAATAATGAGTAAAATTCGTAGCTTGAAGTATTTTTAAAGGAATTACGCGATTTTTGTACATTTTTGTACTTCTAAAGACTCTTTATATATATTCAAGACTAAAATGAACCCCCCAAAATGGCGCATCTGTCCCTTAATATTTTTTTTTTCTGTTAATTCTGTGAAGAGTTATGATTTCATTGACTGAAGTTAGTAGATGTTGATTATTCAACAGGGTTCTTACTTTGCAGATAAGATATAATATAATATATCAGGTGGCATCTTAAGTGGTATGTAGGAAGAAGCCTTATTTAAAACCAAATTTTGGAATTTGTAAAATTTTCAAGGCCCCCAATTATAATACCTTTTATCCTTATAAGGGGTCTGAGTGGGTACATATTTCAATGATCTTATTCAGTCAGTGTTCTCTATTTCAGGACATGGTCAGGTCCAGCATGGTCTCCTGCTCAAAGTTTATCTACAATATTAATGTCTATACAGTCTTTAATGAATGAAAAACCTTATCATAATGAACCAGGCTTTGAAACTGTATGTTAACCCTTTACCTGTCATATCACATAATATGTGTGTTCTGTCTTTCAATTTGTTTGGATGACTTTCATCTCTCATTTCCCATCTGTTTTGCAATAGAAATTGTCTTATCATTGATTTCAAAGCTATGCAATCGGTCGTGTAGCCAAAAGGGGGACAGAGAGAGCAGTTTTTCTGGGCAAAAATCTCATAAGTAGGTTGGAAATTTGGGCAATCTCAGATATTTCGCCCCCTGTGTTCTGCCACTGATGTAATACAATGTAGTTCAGTCTATTTGAATACTTACCACTTGATATTTTTAGGAGCGAAATGCAGGAGATGCTAAACGCTATAATGATATTATTTGTCATGAAACAATCCGTATAGCAGTATGTGATATGCTGATGGGAAAAATACATTGCCCTGATGCACTGAGGTAATCATTATATTTTCATTTCAAAACAGAAGCCTGTCTGGCCTGGTCAACACTTTTTGTTTTTGTATATTGTGTGTACTAGGCTGGCTTATAAAGTACAAAATATCCATGAAGTTAATCTGAAATTTTTATAAAATAATGAAAAATGTGTTCTCCTGAAATGAAGGATTAAATTAATCATGTGTGATGCAAGATTTACTAATTATTAGTAGAGAACTAAGAATGTTGATCAGTAGATGATACAGTTTCAGTATATAAATATATATTTGTAGAGAAGTTATGGAGAAATCTTTTCCTAATTATTATGATTATTATGAAGGTGTTTGTCATTCTTGTAAAAATAAACAAGGACAAAGCATGCAGGTTGGTAGACTATTATTATTGTCATATTATTTGGTTTGCCTTTAAATACTCAAACCATTGTCTATAATGTCAATCATCTACAAATTTCTCTCTAAGAATGGATTTTGTTGACATAGGACAAAAGATCTCAAGGTGAGTCACCATATTTTGATATAGCTGCTAATGATCAAACTGTTTATTTTCATCCGAGGTTTATCTGCCTTCTTTCTCCATGCTATGAGCATTAGTTTAGTGAACAAGAAACAAATTTCTATCTGAAGTTGATTCTGTGCTTTGCTTTTGCTTTTGAATTTTTTTTATACGCTACAATTGGTATGTTTTAATATTCAATGAATTGTATTTTATTACCAGGATCCATTTGGTGAAAAGCGAGGTACATTTGATTATGAGACTTTATTAAATAAATTAAAGATGATAAAAAGTAAATTGTCTGAAAAGAATGACAGTTCAGATGATATGGATGATGGAACAGATTCAGATATGGACACATCTGCTCCTAGTACCAGCTGACAGGTGGTTTAGTTATCTGTGTCTGCTGCAAGTGTTTCAAGGCTGTGTGAAATAGAATATTATAGGATGTAGTCGCAGAATTATTTGGACATTATTTGTAGGCTGTGAAGATCATATGGTTACTTCCTCACTTTTTGAGGATGAATAGCCTCATTACACCATTCTACCAAACTGGTTTAGTAGGACACTATAGGACAGTGCTGTGTTTTACAACACTGTGGATATTTTTAGGGATATGAAGCATTTTTGATAGGAGATTTTTGTAAAGAAGTGTTTTGCATATTGGTTACATTTCTCTAATTTTTTACAAGAAATTTTTTTTCAAATAATGTGATTGAAAATTAGCATTTGAAATTAAGGATATTAAAACTTACTTAATGAAACAAATTTTCATCTTTCAAAATGTTTTAGATACACAACAGAAAATAATTTCCTTAATATCTATATTTATTGTTTGTTTTACAAAACGGTAAAATAATGTCAGATTTTGAATCTTTTTGTAAGTTTAATGTTTATTTTATTATTTTTTCTATTGTTCAATTGGGCTGCGGCCAAACAAAACCCTGAAGTTCACCTTGGCTTCGTAGCTGCAATATTATTTGTTGAAGATATACATTTTGTTATGCTAATATAGGGAACATTTTTAGATGTTATTATATGTTTTATGATATAGGGTGTGTGATTTGACAGCAATAAATCGTAAACGATGAATTTTTAGCACTTTGATCTAATTTAAATTTTTTAGATTTTTGACGATGTTTGGCCTCACGGAATGGAAAGCTGGGTTCTTTGCATCCTCCAACATGACAACGATGGTATTGATGGATGGAAAATAATATAGTGATGTCTTTTGGATTTGTTAAAATGACAAGTCCACTTTTCTTGACATATATAAATACCCTAGTAAATGGGGAACCTGCCCTTTTGTAAAATTTGTCCTGTAGCAATACAAGTGTACTTTACTGTACTGGTTAGTTTCTCAGGTTCTGTATATCTCTAAATTGTTCATCAGTTTGATTTATTGCTGTCAAATAGCTGTGTAGCTGCAGTCAGAATTGCAAGCATAAGATATTATTATATTTCCTTAATAAAATTTGAAATCATTCTGTTTTCATTTTCTTCTTAATCTTAAATCAAAAATGTGTGTTCCCCGTCCTACTTGACAAGGCCAGCAACATTTTTATTTTTTCGAGTCTATGTTTGATCAGATTGTAGTACATCTTATTCAAAAACCCTATTGCCTGTCTCAAGGGTAATTTCAGGGAGTTCCAACATCAGTAAACACAGTAATATAACACAGCAATTATCTTAAGTAAAATTGAGAACACCAAAAGAATTAAATAATTCAAAACATTTTTATTTGAAAAAAGAAGAAAGTTCATTAACAGAAAATAGAAACGTTAAAAATTTTTTTTGTTACATAAATTTAATAAGACTTGTTAAAAGATTAAAACTTCTACCCTTTTCAAACTCATTCTTTTAGTTGAATGTATAAGACTCTGAAATTATGGTTAGGGGGTAAAATTGTCACTAATATGGCTGGTTGGAAATAGATTCCCCATTGTAGATTAAAAATATTGATTTTACAATTACATAATTCAAAGTAAACATAAAATAATGCTGGCAAATAAAGATATTGACCCACATGCTCTACACAATATGATGAAATATTTGATTGTATTAAATTCAAGTAAATTTCTCAATTAGGAGTGTTTGAAAACCTCTTGGTTATCATTTATAAAGCTCACAGCAATCTCATACTGGAACTTACGAGACAACCATGAGTTATGAGTTAGAATTTAATCAAAATATTCTTAATATCATGAGTAGCATAATGGGTCATTAAAGCTAATAAAGGACTTTGGTTTGCAACTAAATATAATTAAATAGTTTTGATTATAACCAGATGATGTTGTTAATATATTTATCCATCCAGTTGTTTTCAGTTTTTCAAAGAACTTTTTGTTTGTGTACTGGCAATAATTACCAGTCAGGGAGAAATGAAAGATTTGGGACTCATTTACCCAGTAAAAAGCTAACATTTTTTCAGGCCTTTTTCTTAATTTTGGAAAGTTACAAAATGATTTCAATAATAAATAAATTCTTTCTTTTTCTATTTTTACCATTTTTATTTGATATTAAGGTATTAGCAGATGGCAGAATTTGAATTCTAAAATATAATATTTAAAATTTCAACAAACAATCTTTTCAAATAGTAAATCAAATTGAGCATAAATACACAGCTGCTGCCGGTTGGTTATGTTTAACATTAAAAATTGTATTTCAAAATAAGTACATTTCTGGATAACATAACAGTTAACCATTCTTTGAAATTTTTATGCAACAGCCCTGTAAAGGAAATAATTATAAAGAAACAACAATTTAAAACACACTCACACATGTTGAAATCATTGTGCTCTTAAAACAACAAAACCTGTGACTTGAAATTGAAAGTAGGATTGAAGCATCTAGCCTAAGGTTTATTAGCACTGTTGGAATTTGAATATATATATATATATTGGAAACAATAAGTTCGTAAATTCTGTTCTAAGAATAAAACTTGTATTTTTTTACCCAATAACTTACATATATGACTAAACTGTAAAGAGCATTAAGAATCAAGCAGGTTTTTTTTATATAAACTATTGAAAGCTTCAATCCTTGTGATTAAATATAGGGTTTTAGATTATCACCTGATGATGAGAGATTATTTATAGTTTAACTCCAGGACTCCTAAAAACATCACAATAACAACAGAATAAAAAGATTAATAAATCAAAAAATAAATTCAACACAAACATCAATAAGGGATTGTGATATAATAAACCTAATGTATACCAGAAGATATAGTTACATGTACATACAATTTTTACAAATTAAGGATTCCTTTCAAATGCCATGAGCCGTGAAGAACTTTCCTGTTTCTTGCTTTCCAACCAAACAAAAATAATTCTTGTCATATTTATGACATAGGAAATAAAAAACAATTTGCAGGTCAATTCAGTCAAAAGCTTGAAAAGTTTTACTTCAGTAAATGTTTTTATTCATACTGCATTGAAATAAGTTGAAGGATTAAATCTGATTGGTACAAAGCACTTTAAATAATGCCTGTAGAGTCTATATTAGATACATTTGACTAAAACATCCCAGCCATAACAAAACAATGATTTATCTAATTAATAATTATGCAAATTTATGCAAATGATCTCATTCACACACTTACCAAGTTAAAATAATTTCTATTTAATGTTTTTCTAGCAATTATAAGAAGATTATGAGAATATGTCTGAATTTGCATATAGTAGAGAATATCATTTACATGTGTTCTGGGTGATTCTTCAAACAGTCCATGAATTGATTAACTTTTAGCTCATTCTTACAGATTCTATGGATAGCTGTGAATAGTGGGAACCTGCAATGTAAATTATACATAAAGGAGCTCTGTGATCTAGGTCAGTGCTTTCATTGAAACTCATCTCAATACACCCTAGTAATACCAATTTTCAAAATTTGGCGCAGTGCAATGTCATGCTTCTGATAAATTAGGAAACATAAGCTTTAAACAGCTTTAATCCTTTCAACACTAGTGGCAGATCTTCCAGCCACATTATTTGGTGGAGCGGCCCATAGAGCAGCATTACAAAGACACATAATGTTAAGCCAATTTCATTGTATGCTACTAATGAAAGTAACATCCATGCACAATACCCACTTTATCTTTTTACGAGAGAAAATGAATGCTGAGTTAAATTACCTATCTTCCATATTTTTGTTTTTTAACATATAGTTGACCTCAAATGCTGTAGGGGGACCTTGTAATTTCTGTCCATTTAACATTTCTGTTTCTAATTCTTCTATAGACTATAAAACAAAATGGTTTGAGTTACATATAGATGCAGATATTTATTCCAAGAGACAATGAATAAAAACTACGCTTCCTTTTAAGCTTGCAACAATCATATGCTATATAATTCTGCTGGATATTAAAGATGGATTTCCTTGTTTTTTGTGTCAAATTTAACAAACTACTTGATTAATCATATTATTATGTTCTTATTGCATATAATTAAGAGTTTTAACCAATCATAAATGTCCTAAACTAAAAAAAACTTTTTGACCTTTCTTAATCGGCCATTCATTTGAATTCTGCTGATAATTAGCTAATTATGAATTAATTATGGACATGTGAGACAAACTGGTATTTCTTCAAGTCATTAGAACACTTCTACCTTCTATTCATTTCTAGCAATTTGATGTTCATAAATGAAAATAAGGGAACCCATCTTTAAATTACCTGCAAGCCAATACACAGCTGAAGAGAATATTAAACAATATTGTCCTACCTTTCCTGTTTTGGCAAAGGCTTCTGCAACTCTCCTATTTCGACCACCATAACAGGTGGTAACTAAATCTGCCACTCCACAACTCTCTAAAAATGTGGATTCATTTGATCCTGTAGATGAAAAATAATTATGAGGATGTAGATAAACAAAACTTTGATTAAATATATCAGTATCAGCATCATCAAGTAAGCAGTCCTCATTTATATATGATATTTAACCATCAGTATTCGGCAGAAACAAAATTTGCATTGCATTTCTTACCAGGGTAGAAAACTTCACAGAATTTAATCATTTCCATTAAACCTAATCTAATAACAGCAGCTTTAGTATTATCTCCATATCCTAGACCATCAGCAAAACCAGCTCCTACTGCTACAATATTCTGTCAAAAAATAGTGTTATAAGAATAATTAAAAACTCAACTAACAAACAAACATATGCATTTAATTTCAATCCTAAAGCGACATTAAGCACTTTTATAATATTAATACCTTATACATGTACATATATAAATATTCATAATATAATATAAATACCTTTAAAGCTCCACAAACTTCAACAGTAGTTTCATCTGGTACTACAACAATTCTAAAATAATCAGCTTGAAACACATCCTTTAATAATGGACCCATTTCAGGGTCTTTACAACCTACAAAATAATATATGTCATATATATATGATGTCATGTGATTTGCAAACCAATCAACAATGCTTGCATTAGCAATTTTTACTTTGTTTTAAAATAGGAACACACACAAAACATATGAATAGTATAGCATGGTAAACCGTCTTGTACAGTAAAAATGGTTGCTTTGATTGGTAAAAAATCTCCACATTATAAGAACTTATTGGTATAAAATGACTCATTAAGTTCCATCTATTTATTGATATGGGGCATCATTTAACCGCGTTGATGTTGGTATAAAATATCAAAACTGACAGAGTTGTAGTGTTGTGATGTGGACAACTGTATGCCATTAATTATAAACTTTTTTTTAATTCATCTTCTAGAATGACCATTATTTTATTTCATGGTTCAGATTATCTTCAAAATGCATAAGGCATAGTTCATAATACCTTGACATTGTGAAGATGACTTCAGATATACAACATACTTACCAATAGTAGCTTCACAATAATTCTCTTTGGCAACCTCATTAGCAATATTGGCACCCATTAATATAGCACATGGTATATTTAATAACTCCCTAATAACATCTGATATTAATAATATACCTCCACCTTCCTTCACATCAAAACCCTGAAAATATTGAGCTTTGAAATGCAAAAGCAGAATTGAAATAACATGAAGTTGAATATCAGATTTTTTTTAACCTGTTTATGCTAAATTTTGAAATGACAAGAGCTCAAGTCTCCTTTTTTTGATTTCCAACTGTCACTTTACAGCCGATAGCAGATGTGTGCTTGGCTTTTTGTCCGATCTAAAAAAAAATAGACACATTTTTCATGTCAGCTCCTGACAGCTACAACCAGCATTACTGACAACAACATTGAAAAGTGATCTCAACCCAGAATCCTGGTAATTGTAATGAGGCTGTGTTGATCAGTAAAAGCAAATAACATCAACACAGTAACCACAATTTACAGCCTTAATCACTTTCATTCATAAACTTGTAGTAAGAATTCAAGAGGAAACCGATTTAGAAAGACAACAATAAGTTACCTTAATAAGAGTGACAGCTATAGCATCTTTTTTAATGGTGCCCTGAAGAGATTTTCCTACTTTTCTTACAAATTGATGAGGTAGCACAAAAATAAAAATATCAGCATCTTTTCCAGCATCTGCTACATCAGGAATGGCAACCTGTAGAGAAAAACAATGTTAAGCAGATACACACAAATTACTTGACTGCCGAAAGTTGCCCTTTCAACATAGCGATAACCAGTTGTGTATGGTTGCAAATAAGAATAGTGGTCATAAGTTTTGAAGTTTCAAGTGCAACTGGTTATCGCTTTGGTTTGTGAGCACCTATGCATACGCAATTTAAATGCTATCCCTGAAACGCTTTTAGCACCATTATCACAGGGAAATGTTTACAGATGGCACTCACATGGAGCTCCCAGACCCCAAAAAACCAAAATATTTGATCAATTAGTTACAATCAAAGAGCTTATTTATTGATGTTTATTAGATATTTATTGAAAAGGTCATGGCGATTTACCCAATGTATAATAAAATCAATCTACTTTGATAACACAAAAAGACATCTGTTTCACGTAAACTTATTCACATAAGCTTAATCAATAGTATAGTCATTTATTCCTAAATATTACAGGAATAGTAACCTTTGACCTTTGACAGTTCATGTAGACAGCAGATTGGTTCTCTCAATCTCTATAACCTTAATGAATTAACATCAGTGACAAGAACAAGATGATTTCTTAACTGGAACACTTAGAATTGCTACCACTTTTCTATGATGTGCGAATCAAAACTGAAGTTGCTGTAATAAATTTCTGATCAAATTTTTCAGTTGAAAATCATGCTTTCAGGAGAAATAACTCTTAGCAAAATCACAAAATATAAAAATCTGCATGAAGTGGACAAAATTTTGGGTGTGGTATATCTGATGATGGGACAAACAAAATCCCAAGTTGAGAAATTTTTTGGCTTGAAATTGCCCATCACATTGTTTTCTACTTACCACATTTTCTGGCAATGCGATTCCTGGTAGATATTTGACATTTTCATGATCATTATTGATAATATCTGTTAATTTTCTATCATTAACAGTTTCTTCAAACACCCACATTCGTACTTCTTTATGAAACTTGTCAGGCATTGTGACCACATTGTTACCTATTATCTTAGCAATAGCTGAACCCCTAAAATATATAATTATGATAAATATTGTATATAAACAATGTTTTCTTAAAAACATATTGCTAGACACTTCCAGTTCTTTAATTAATTGTTAAACTCCTTAAATATATAACGATAAATATTGTATATATACATTACAAAAAATAAGTAATTTAATAAAACTGTTTTGTAATTTAAATAACTTTATAATAACATGTCAGCGTAAACCTTAGTTCATTTTAAGTAATCATGCAGGAACTCTTTTCTTCATTGGTAAGCTTATATTTTTGTTTAATTGCAAGATACCAGGAAGTCACATTCTTATTCTGAAAATAGGTTTGGTCTAATTATAACTGATCTTTAGATGTACCCGCTTGTAAATACAAGATTTAGATTTTATCAAGAATAGGAATCTAATAGTATAAATTCAAATATTCTAAAATGTCTACTCAATACAGAACTTGATAAATATCAAAAGATCAGAATGTAAATAAGACCAGTATAAGAATTAAGTATATCAGTAAAAGAGAAATGTAAGTTATACTTTAATGATAATCCAATATCCAAACTGCACTGTCAGTAATGATGATATCAGTTGCACAAACTTGGCTTCACCTAATTCTCTTTTTCAACACTAGTATCAGGTTTTGGCACAGTTATTCCAATTTAAGTTAAGCTAAAAATAGCATTACATGTCACAATTTAAAATGTTGTGATTAGGTTTCTGTTTTGAAGAATGACAAGCCTTTTAAATCAAATTTTTAAAAAAGCCAAAAAAATCAGGTGAACAGTATATGAGCAATTAAAGGAAATTAATCTTAAGAACAAGACATAAATTGGCATAAAACCATAATACACATGTTTATTCAATCAGACTGATTATTTATGTTAACCATTGATCTAATAGGGATTTAATATTTTTGTTAAAGCTAATAAACCTCAATTTCAATTAAAATTTTATTTTCAGGCAGGATGTCAGAAGGGAGGTCAGATAAGAAGTGAACAGAGAAATAGATCCATTTCAAAACCATTCTGTGCATTTAATACAAATTCTAAACTAAAGGTCATGGTCAAGACATTTTTAGGTTTAATAGATCCTTACAGATCAGTCCCCCACCCGATATATTCCTAGGAGGGTTAACAAACAGAGACAGAACAGCTTCGATAATAAATGAAACAATCCACATGATTTTACAATCATGCTCTATCATAGAAACAGTTTGACTATAGATAGCAAAAGACAAGTACTAACAGGACCTGGGTTATATTTGATGTATAGAAATAAAACATGCAAATGGGTGGACATTTATCGACAAATTAATTCAAAACCAAAGTTCAGAGTCCAAAGTCGAAAATTTTGCATAAGGGTGTGTTAAGAAAGGCACAAGGTCTCAATGTTTAATTTCAATTTATCTCCATAATGATTTAAAGTTGAAACCTCAATGTCATAAGCTTATATAAATGTAAAATTGAATATTCGATGCAAGATAACATATACATATCTTACATGATCTTAATATTACTTTGTTTGATTAGTCCCAATATATCAATTTCAGACTGGTAGATAGCAAGATTACAATTACTAATGATATTAGCTCTATGTACCGTAAAGATCTAAATGATTTTATGTAAATATGAAAACATACTGTGAATTTTAACATGTGCACAGTGCAGTTAACAAAATTTCAAAGATATTATAGTAACTGGGTTAGCTAGTTACATGCCCCATCAGTAAACAGTAAAATTGACCAAAAAGTGATTGATATAAAAAAAAATTCATCATACTTGCACTGATTTTTGGATGGCCATGGACAATGAAACCCAAAAACATTAAGCTACCAGCTCTACTATGTGAAATCTACAGATTCTAATAAATTGTAGCTTTATTACAAAACACCAGAGAAGACTTATCAGAGAAGACTTATCATAGTATGCTATATCAGTACCAGTACATACTTTTTTATCTTGGATAGGATAACAAAAGACTCAAGTTTAATTCATTATTAATAAGTCTAGTATAATTCAGGGATAACATTGTTCAGTTTTAACGAGCTAGTATGTATTTAAATATAAATTGAAAACTAGTGAGAATAAGAGTACTGTGACCAGATTTCTAGGCCAAGGTTATTTGGGTAATAAGGTACTGTGCAAATAAAACTTTAAACCTCATGGTTTAGGCTATGGTTAATGTAGGAAATCGAGAACTTTTGACACTTATGAAAGTGTCTCTATATAAATGCTACATAAACAAAATTACAAAACAAAATATCTTCACTGTTAAAATAGTCTGCAAAACATTAATTGTAGAGCAATAATAGAAAAAAAAAAAAACTGAAACATGTCGTTACTCAACAGTTTCATGCTGTGCATTCTTTGAACAGATAACCTATATTATAAGCTTACAGAATTTCTATAATATTTGAGAAAATGCAACAAAATTGATAACTATGTAAAATTTCGAATAATCAGATCTTCTGACAGTGTTCAAAAGCTTATACTTTTTCTCCTCTCAGTGAAATTTACACTAATCTTACATAGATCCTTGTTATTTTGCTGCTGGTTTTGATTTGGCTTCAATTTTTTTCTGAAGTCCTAAGCTTACTTTATTTTGTGCTAAGAACTACAACAGTCTAAGAAGGCCTACAGCAAGATATTAGAATTAAGTAAACAGTTTATAAGGCATAAATAATAATAGAAATAATAGGTTACTCTTCCATCAAACAGTTACCATACACTAGATAATAGGTAACTATATTTCATAGGTTGCTCTACCGAAACTCTTCATGGTAAAGTAGAAAATTGAATGTCAAAAGTGACAAATTGGGATATAATTAATCCATTTGAAATAACAACATTTCCTGTGAAAGAAAATGGCACATTTAGGATTGTAAATTCTTCTCTTTGTGTAAAATCATGCTTCCACTTCCAAATACTTCAAATAGTAATTTTTTTCATTTCTCATTACATTGGATTGGTTGCCATTTTCATCAATCTGAAGACAATCCAAGTTTTTCAGTATTTGATTTTTTAAATTTACAAATTGTGGCAAGACAGTTGTGTTTTGTTCCAAATAATAGCATTAGCACTAGCAGTGCAAGAAAGTGGTGCCAAGTCCAAGCAAGTTAGTAGGCTAGACAGAAAAATAAACACAAAGCTATGCCTGTTGCAGGATTTTTATCTGAATCCTCTAATAATTCTTACCAATTTCCAGATCCAACAATGCATATTCTTTTAGGAGTCGACATTTTCTCTACACACGCAGCAACACCACTGTGGAAATCTTTACAAAAAAGCTGAGCCCACAAACAACACTTCAACTCTTCAACTGCTGATACTTTGACCTTTGAACTCCCGAGTAGTTCATGGGAGACAACTCTTGTTTTTCTCCCTATTTTTCCAGTGATTTTACTTCGCATTGAAAATGAGTAGGCCCTTTTTGCCATTAAAAACCTTCTTGATTGCTTGCCCAGATCTTCACATAGTCTAATGGAAAAATTCATAATGTTCTATAATAATGTAGATGTCGTAATCCTGGACATAAGTCAAAAGGGAGACTACACCATAGAGTTATATAATAAGATTTATAACTCTATGGACTATACCGATCTGAATAATTTGAGCTCTTACATTAGTGGTTTCCCCCCTTTTCATTTTCCACATCAGAGGTTTCATATTTCATATTACTTTTAGTGAATTCCACCCAAATAGCAAATAGTTTCCTCCTCTCAATAACTACTTAAGAAGTTGTAGATCCAAGATCAATTTTGAGATATATATGTGATGTTTGCATTACTATAAATATACCAAGTAGTCTGTTAACGATCCGAACCGCAAAACGAATCCTAAAATAGAAAACAATTACATTTTGGCAAAAATATTGGTAGTGCAGTTAATTAACTTTTAACATGGGGAATGGTAAATTAGACTGATTAAAGCAGTATTATTGTTAAGATTGCTTAATCCATTTATGTATTCAGATAATAAATCATAACATATTAATGAATTATAATACTCAAACATAACCATATACCCTCCACATTACCCTCTTAAGTGAAAAGCCCACCATGATCATTTGAAATAATGAAAACAAAATGAAACAACCGTGGCAAATCCTTCAAATTTACAATTATGATACCAGTATAAAATCTATTATATTCGTCCCTGTTGCATCACTTGGTGGCAAAGTTCGGATTTAGGAAATATTCAGAAACTTTTTCAGGATTCAGCAGCCGATCCATAATAGCAGTCAGCAGGAGAACTTGAGAAGTGGCATTGGCAATCCATTCCGTGATTTGCACATTTTTGATTGTTTGTCCATCAGTGGCTGTTTTGATTGTTTTTGACTTGGCATTGTTAACATGGATAAGAGAAATGCATTGTTATAATGGACCATTATGTTTTGTTCAAAATATGGTGTCCGAAATTATATATGTCCTATTTGGTAACGTTGTGTAGTCCAGTTTGTCCAGTATCGTTTTTTACATTGACGGCAATACATAAAATATCTTTGTTCCAGTCTAAAACGTTGTCATAACGCACGCGATATTTACCGCTCGTAATTCCTAAAAATAACTTGATCAAGTCACATGCTTCGATTCGACCAATTAAATTCTAAGTTCCAAGAAATCGTAGAGAAAACGTTTTACATTGAAATATATAAGGTGACTTTGTTAAACAAGCATTATTTGCTGATATTCTGTGTTCATAGAAGGCTGTTATTCATGGAGTTAGTGTTTAATCAGGTACATCGCTGTTAATCGAATCCTTTTTGTTGCCAATTTTACGTAATTTGAATTGGGTTCTTAACCGTCTTGAAGTAAACTCTTTCACTTTGGTATACCGGTATTTATACTGATTTTTAGGAAAATACCTGTCTAGGAAGTAAATTGTATAGTCTTTGTGAAAGTTAAGACCTCGCCATTTTATTTTAGGCGTAGCCTTAATCATATCTCTAATATTCTAAAAAGAAATCGTTATATTATTGATTCAAAAGTGTTGTTTAAAAGTTGTTTTTACACTAAGTTTCATTGTTAAGACTTGTTTTATTTAGATCAAAATTTAAGGTCCAAATTCATTTTAACATTTCTTTTGTGAAGTCAAAAAATATTGCACAACAATCCAAGATGGCTGCCGAGTCCTTTGATTTGTGTGAATTTGACTTCACAGCTGAATCTAGTAATACTCTATATGGCTTTGATTTGTTAGACATGGATAATATATTTTCTGATGTCCCCCTGCAGGAACCAACCTTGGTGTCAAAGACCTCACCCTTTCACGAGTCTGACAGTGGATTGAGCGACATGTCAGAAGAATTCATCAATCCAGGAAGTGTTGACTCTGCTGGCAGTGAACAGTCCCGAGGTGGAAAAATGTTGGATGAATTGGTGGAATCAATGGAGTTTTCTCCCTTTTGTGAGCCAGAAGCGGATCGAGAATTGCAGGAATTAATCAGTGTAGCCCGGTCATCAAATAGTGACCCTTTAAATTGCCTCGATGGTGCAGATCGTGATTTGGCAGACTATTTTTCCAACGATAATGGTCGCAGTGATGATGACCTGGTTGCTTTTCAAGCATTGGTTGAGAACAATCCTCCTGAAGAGACTGTAGTTCTGAACAAGGAGAATAAAATCATTAAATACAAGACCAACCCCAGGATTGCTTCCAAAGGAAAAGCTGCTCCCAAAAGGCAGCAAATTTCCAAAAGTAGTTTTTCGACAATGCAATGCTGATGCCCCTAAAAAGAAAAAAAGTGACTCTTCTTTAACTGTTCTTGAAGATAAATCTCCAAGTGGACTGAAATCGATTAAGGTTCTGAAAGTGATCAAAGCCCCAGCTGCTTCGGAGGAAGAAACTGCTACACAAGTTGTTGCAGCTCTTGATGACCGTAATCGTAAGAATGCCATCAATGCTAAAGTGAATCGTGAGAAAAAGAAGGCGTACATCAACGGCCTTGAAGATGAACTTGCCCAGGTGAAAGACTCGAATGCTCAACTTCAACAAGAAAATGTCAAACTTAATAGTGAAAAAGATTCTTTAGCTGAGCAAGTCGAATATCTCAAAAGTGTGTTGGCCAATCAGAGCACACTTTCCAAAGTCCTGAACACTATGGAAAATTTGAAGGGTGTCCGTCTAACTTCTTCAATTAGTGGTAGTTCTAGGAAACGTGCTCTTAATGCGGATCATTCATATGGCTCTAAGAGCCAAAAAATGGACGAGACTGAAGCTGTCAGTGAGTCACACTCCAAATCATCAGCTGGTGTTTGCCTTCATGTTCACGAAGAAACCGTATCTTTGGAACTCTGTTCCCATTGTTCCAGAATGGCCAAAAGTGTCAAGTGACTTGAAATGTGAAATAGTACAAGTGTTATTTCAATGTGCAAGTGCTAGATGAAGTGACTTGAGGGCCTTCCTAGTGTGGAACGAACCAAGATCAAGACAAGTGGTGGACATAGGTCAAGTGCAGGGTCAATGGTTTTACTATTTGAAGCCTCTTTAACATGCCTTCCTTTCAATTTCTTAATTTGTAGAAGTTGAACAGTAATTTGGCATTAATGTCTGCATTAATGTCTGCATTTTAATATTTCAAAATTTAAATTATTTTTGATTGATAAATTGCAATTGATTTAATTTTTGTGAAGCTTTAATTTCTGAAAGATTTAATTGTTAATTTATCAGGAAGGCATGTTAGACTAGCTTGATGGGATGAAGTGTTAATGTCATGAATAGTTTCTATTGTAGGAATTGCAGAGAATCTAAATGTATTTTGAAGATATGTTAAAATAGTATGGGATAGAGCAAATTGAAATTGTTGCCTTGGTTGTGATGTGGCCAGATGAAGAATATTAATTCTTCAAGCATGATTAAATTCGGTAAGGTGCCTCTCACAATTTTTGAGTCTGCAAGGATTGAAGAAAAGGGATTCATAAAATCATACTTTCAGATTTGGAAGCATGATTAGAATCCCAGTTCTTGGTCCGCTAGCCAGACGTTTTTCTGCATGGGTAATCAATCAGTTGAAAAAAAGTAGGTCAACCATGAGAAAACTGTGGTACCATTTGAAATGGAAGTGAAATTAAAATGGTGATTGAAAGATGAAGTTCCAGCTGATATACCAAGCTTCACATGGCAAATAAATGTTTACTTTATAATATTATTCTGTAAAGTACTGGTACTTTGTAAATAATCATTCAGGATATATATGTATACTGGTTTTAAATGATGTACAGTTAATTTTGTTTTGTATGAATTGTTATGTAGTTTAGGGAAAAAATTATTTTTTGTTAAATTGTTCAGAAAGATGTATATGGAATATGCTTTGAAGTTCGCAGTCAAGTTTGACATTGGAACTTACAAATGTTGTATTTTTTTTGTATAGTATCAAATCAATGTGGAGTGAGGTGGTTTGAAAGGGGTGGAAAGTCACTGGTTCTATTTGCACTACTTCTGGTTCCAGTGTCCAGGGTTCGAGGTAATTGGGACAGGTAAGTTTCATTCAAAAAACATTTCAAAACGTAAGTAAAGTTTTTTTCTGATTGGCTTTGAAATATTATTTTGTGTCCGACTTCAGACATGATTAGTATTTGAAAGAGCATTGATGCATTTGTGGAAATAGACTTTTACTCTTTCTTATTGGCTTGTGTGAATTTTGAAAAGTTGTTAAAACTGGACGTTTTGAAATGTTTTCTTGAATAGACTTACTTTGCCTGAAATGTGTTTATATTGTACATTAAGTTTACACATTTTGAGCAAAAGGAGTCGTTGTTTTCATGAGGTTGATTGACACCTGTGTAATTACAAAATTTCTGGCATATGTAAATTTTGCAAATGGCTAGATATTCTTCAAAATTTCGAAAGACAACTTTTGCTCAAATGTGCATTTAATATTCTTAATTTGTTAGAAAAAAGAAGAAAATATGTTAAGAACAGTACTGAATTGGATGACAATTGTATTAAAAAAATAAAATTTATCTAAAAATTGTTTCTTTGCCACAACATGTGGCTGGTTTTAACCCATGACATGCTCTAAAAATACTTCCAGATAACTTAAAGAAATGGTGGCAGTGGCAATTAACAGCAAAACACCTAAGAAGATAGCTATGGTTGGTATAAAGACAATTTTAGATCTATGATTTAACACATTCTGCAAACACAATATATATATCTAAACTAGTTCCGTATCTCGATGAAAGATCTGATTGTTAAAGAATCTAAAATTTTTGAGAAAATAGTGTCTTTAACTTTTTAATGCGGATAATTCTGCACACCTGGATTTGAAGGCCTAAATTTCGAGCTGTGAACACTGAGTAGCTTGGCTAAAAAAAATTCGATTCTGTGACTAAGGTATAATTGGTCAAACGGATGGCGAACTCCTCCCTTAAATTATTCGCCTTTTCGAAAGTCTATCATATCTTGGTCTCGATAACAGGAATTGTTCAGCTGAGCTAATCAGTTAACAGCTTACTGTCGACGATTTTGCCGTCACAGACATGTGTATTCACAAATTATCCGTGTTTTGGAAAAAAACAATGACATCTTATTCAGAACTGGACTGGATAATTAAAAAATAATTGCCGAAATTTCACATTATAGACTTTCTTAACCGGACACACTTTTGGACACCCAGTTTCAGGTAGCGGATAAAATAATGAAAGAAAAACCCCAGAAAAATTGAAATTTCTAGAAATGCTTTTAAAGTTGTGCGGTTTTTGTTCAGTTCTGGTACGTCCGAAAATTACTTGCATATATTGAAGGCTGTAATCAACCTCCGAAAATTGTGATTCTGTATCCATGGTCCTAAAAGAAGTCTCAAGTTATACAAGGTTGCAGTATGTGCCAATTTACTGTGGAATAATTTGAAACCAAAACCATGTAGTCTGAACGTTTGAAAAAGCAGGGAGAAATTTTAAAAATTGGTCCATACTTGACAAATTTAAAATGAAGGTCCGCAAAGAAAATGTGGATTAGAGTTATCATTCTTAGATTTTGTTGAAATTGGGCTTCGGACTTTAAAATTGAAGACAAATGGAAAAGAATTTTTTTTTTGTCGTTACCCCCAGGTGGGCGATTATATTGCAAGGATTTTGCTAATTTGGTTTAACAAATGGCTGTTTAGATCAGTTTGGTGGTACATTGGAAGATGAACGATGTTAAAAGACTTTCCCTATACTTTATCGAAACCAGTCAAAAACAGCAGTACAGCAGCTGGAGTTGTCATTCGTTTTTTGTCTGATCTTGTTGATAACTGCCTGCATGCACCAGTTATATTTAATTAAATGTAATAAGAGGTATTCCTTTTTTTTTTTAATTCACCAACTTGTAATTAACCAATTGTAATTATCTCAATGGTAGCTGAAACCTCATTTTCCGTTCGAACCACACACTGTATTAAATCTATTTATGACAAAAGAGTCTAAAAGCTAGGGTCATCAATACATATTATTTCATTATTGATATGTTCGTTACTATCGTATTAGATAAAAAAAAAAAACGAACAAAAACTATGCCAGAATTAATGTGATCTGAATCCATTTATTGCTTGATAGATGAAAAATAGATGTCATGCAGTTTCCTGCATGTAAATTCTTCCTCCAAGAAAATATGTAAAGGATCCGTATGTGATCTGTAGGGTTATGTCACCAAATTCATCTAAATTCTGATCCATTTTGACAAACTCATGAACGACAAAAAGGATTCCTCTATTTTACTTTATATATAGATTTGGAAGTTAGTCGAGAGTAACTTGAAGTTATTCCAGGTGTTGTGCGGCCAATATTTTGATAAAGTGTTGTATTAATGCCAATCATTAAGTAAAAAAGAGACTTTAAGATCCTTCTTTTTTGTAAAATTATTTCTGAAAATTGATATTAAGTAAATCGGGATTTGTGGAGCTATGAGCGTTGATAAGATTTCACAGTTAAACTGGATTGTTTTGTAAGCTATTTTGTAATTAGTTTTGTTACTTAACTTGATCAATATTTGCGTATTGCAAATTTTATTGTCGTCGATACGTCCGCCCACAATTGGCTGTAGACTACTAGTCTTTATCTTATTTCCATGGAATTTGGTGTGATCAATTTTATTGATGAGATTTTGGTCAAGTTTGAATTTGACGAATTTTCGATGGACGGATTTTAAGTTATTGCCCATGACTTGGTAAAGGGTTTTAACCCGCCGCCATAGAGACTACAGATTTTATTTTAATGAAAATTGATCGTTGTTGTCATCTATAACAACGAGGTCGTGGTCAAGTGCGTAGTTGATGATTTTTCGATGAATAAAATAAGAGTTATTGCCTTTGACTCCGTTAAAACGCGTCAAAACATTATAAAGCAAGATTTTATACAAAGAAGTATTTAGGATTGTAATGATTAGTCTTTGTAGTCTAGAATAAAATTGTTGGTCAATTATAACTATGATCTATTCAGTCAGGCTAAATTATAAAACATGAAAAAGATTTCAGGGAAAAACATCACGAAATATGAAACTTTGTAGGTGTGATGCAATCGATCAAGGATAGGGAAAAGGGTAATCGTAGGGAAAAGGTGGACAACCCCGCTATAGAGACTACATTTTAATGACAGATAGTGTGATCATCTAGAACGACGAGATTTTGGTCAAGGTTTAAATTTGACACTTTTTCGATGAAAGTTTAATTTTGCCCTTGTCTTAGTAAAAATGATTTGGTTGTGACTCAATCGAGAGTAGAAACTACAATTTTAATCGGTATAAAAGCACTGGCCTAGGTTTACAGCATTGGAATACTTCAATTTGATAGAAACGGTGTCCTTGATAATGATGAGATCTGGGTCAAGTTGAAAAAGTTAGTATAAAGGCGTCAAAACTCGTCAACCACAGTTTTCACCCAATTTAAATGAAATTCGGTGGTAACATTGATAATGCTGAGATCTGCGTTTTCATTTGATTTTAATGAAATTCGTTTTGATTATTTCTATGGAGATCTTAGTTATGAAACAAGCGTCAACATTTGTTCGTGACAGGTGACAGTGCATGTAAGAATTTTATGAAATTTTGTGGACAAGTTATATTTTTGGTACGATTTGACACAGTTTGACGACTGAGTTGGTGTACTGAAAATGAATCCGGGAAGTGGGTGTATCTTGCTCGACAGCCACTTGTTATTTGCATGGCGTATAGGTCACGTTTCTCGTTATTGTTCATGTTCTGGACCATTGTTCTCCATTGTGTGGCGTGTTCATCACATCCACGTTCACATCATTTACTCTTTCTGTGAGGCTCTTGAAGTTCTTCCTTTAGTATTGATTACAACTTTTTGTACAGCAGGATGACTTAATTTAGAAATATGTTGTGGATAGCATTTTCAAAAAATACTTTAACATTACAATTACAATGTTCCATCTGCCACCAAAACAAACCATGTAAAATAACAATTGGAGAACAAGGACTGATAACAAAATTGATTAACGGTCCTATCATTTGAAAGAATTCCGATGATCGAAAAGTTTGCAACTCTACTTAGACGTTAATGCTATTTCGAACAGTGAAGTTAGGAAAAATAAGTGACAGCACCTTGATTGGAAAGAAACAGTTGTTGCACCCTTGCCGTGTGCGTGTTTTTGGGGGTGTTCGTAGAGTGGAATGTTTGAGTAACACTACTTTTAAAGACTGTGTTGGATAAGTGGGGTGCACGGACTTAGAAAACCATGTGCGTTTTCAAGTATGTGTATGATTAATCCAATCTCAAGTTGTTCATATCTGATCTAGACTTTTCAAGATATTTTTCAGGGTCTTTGCTGTCAATTGCCACTCCTACCAACGACACCCAAACTGGATTTAGAGGACTCCTCTACACTTTGTGAAATACCGTTATGTTCAATAAAGCAAATGGTTGTTCTTTTTATGGTGATAGCAAGCCGAATGTCATAACTTCACATCCGATATGGTTTCCAGCTGTTAAAGAGGAGCTCGATTGGTGTGGGTATGAAAGTCGGCTTGGTATTGCCTTTCAAGAGTTAGGTCTATATGGGATCCCCTGGGGTATACATATTGTAGTGATTGAAAGTAACAATGTACTATTCAACAAAGGCGCTGGCACAAGGGTTTGCCTGGATCTTAAATATACTCCTTTCATAACTTGGAATATGCTCAAATTAAGGGAAATCGCCAATTTGGAGCGAGAACTTGACGGTGTAATCGTTCCTCTGTGAATTATCTCTCTTCTGGTTTCCATGATACTTGAACAACATGCGCAATGAAAAGAAAAGACTTTAATAATGATTGTAATTGTGCAATAAGCAATGGATTTCAAAGAAAATTGAGGGAAATGATTAGATCGCCTGAGATTAAGCGCTGGACCACAGTGCTGGCGCCTAATAGAACTGCGTCTGTTTCGCACGCCTTCAGTGATCATTTTTGAATGCTCCAGGACTTCCAGGTACAAATATACAAATGTTGCTACACTGAGTGTAATATTAGACTAATATCTGTTATGACTACTACGACCCCCTGTAGTAGGGAGTAGGATATGGTGCCTCAGTTGGCACACAGTCAGTGAATATAGGCTAATCCATTCCTCGTAGTTCAACAGCAATTTCCCTCAGCCATAGAGCTATTTCAGCTGTTTGGTCATAATTGTCCAAAACTGCTTCTGTGGACAGAAAATCGCCATCTGGACTCTGAATGCTAATCAAATATTTAACGATTTTTTGACACATCTTGAGATACTTTTTGTTACTAGTTGCTTTATAAACAAGTGCAGCAGCATAAGAAACCTTGTGACTGAAGTGAAAACTGTAAATGCTTTCATCGCAATCATGCAAAAAGTCTAAAATTTTGCAACAATTGTCCAAATGTTGTCGACACCCAGTTGCTTGGTAAAGTTTAAATAAAAAGATAACTGGATATCCGAGCAAGAAATACAGCTGATTTGGATCGTTCGTTTTTACACTGTAAAAGGGGCGTAACTCCTCTGGTCCTTCCTTTACAAAGTCCTTGTTGGCACTTGACATCCTGCAAAGGAATTCCAATTTTATGTCTGGTTGTCGCTGTATGAAAGTGTCGATCGAATTTCCCAAAGTTTCCGCCAGTTCCAAATCTGAAAAACCATTCATTTGTATACCATTCAACCAACAAATAGAAAAAAGGTATTGTTTCATGCAGAATAATCTGCTGGGATGACCAACGTAGCTTTTTTCAACTACGATGCCTATTAGGGCCCAAAAGAGCCGTGTGTGGTTCACAATATTGATCAATATAATCCGTATTCGAAATTTTGATGCAAAACTGGGGGCATCCCCTTAAATGCTTAGATAATTGGGGTGCGTGCTACTTTGATGCTCCTAGGTGGGCTAATAAAAAAAAAAAGGCGGAGCGTCAGACAATATGTAATAAGAGAGAACCACGGCATCGGGCAGTATGGTGCGGCATGAAAACCTGACTGTTGCACAATAAAATCTGGAGGGCGCCACCAGAACGAATCTATGCATTTTCCAGACAATGAACAAGGATACTTACTTCCAAAGTAAAGAGCAGCAATACCAAGATGAGAACACATTAGAATCTCGATTTCCTGTCCTGGAGTGTCCACAGAGAATGGTTCCGAGCAGTTCACACTCTTTAGCACTGGATTGTAGAAAGTGTTCAAATACTTGTAGGCAGGATAAGCGATATCAAATCGGCCGATTCTCTGAGCAGCTATCGCTACCCAACCGTTCATGTAGGACCAGAAATGAGCCAAAGCCCCATTCGCAGTTTTCCAATCTTTCCCATCGGGCTCCTTGAAGGTTACGAAGTCACCGTTGTCAATCATGAACCGTGCCTTGATGTCATCCAACACTTGATTGGCTAATTTTCCATGACCAGTAAGGAGAAATAACATTGGAAGCTTGTAATGAGTTCCCATGTCACTTTTAGCCTCTGGTAACGTAAAATGTCCATTTTTATCCAGTTTAGATATTAGGAAAGCGACACCATTATCACTTGCTTCCATTAATTCCACCCAATTCATCTTGAATGATGTTAAATCCTCCAAGATTATTGCAGACTTGGAACTCTCAGTAATCCAGACGTGACTGTAGTAAGTTTACACTTTGATGGGTGATAATTTCGCAATTTATGAGGCATACAACTGACTTGAAATACAGACAGAAGACGTAAGCATTAGATATCCAAAAAGTGTCAAGGAATAGTCCAAAAGGTGTAGTGTGAGATTTTCTTTTAAATATCAAACTTCATTTGTCTGAAATAAAGAAGGAACTCGTATCAAATACAATAAAGCTATTTTATAATTAAATGAATTCCGATAAGACCTAATTGTTTTCGGAAGTTCATTGGTCTTTGAACAATGAAACTACTTGAACTCATTGACATATCACAGTACCTTTTAGCACTGAACGAAGGTTGGTCTTCCAATTGAAACTATTCACATGGGTCAATGAGCCTGGAAATGAATAAAACATATAGGCATAACGTACAAAGTACATTTGTAATGTCTTTGGATGTAAGTGTCGTCCCCATCGATCGAACAAACATGTTCACTATATTTCGACCTACATACACTTACAATCAATGTCAGGAGTTGCCAAGTCATCATTTATAATAGCATAGCTTAATCAGTGATGCAAAACCGTGCAAAATCACATTTTTCTATTTTTGTGTATCGGTCTTGTAGGGGAATACTAAAAAGAACCTACCTTTCTTGTAGCCTATACCCCAGAAGCCTACAGGTTTAACCGAAAGTGTTTACCAAGTCTGCTAATCTACCCTCAAATACTCTCTTAATTCCTTTACTAACATCAACTCAACAACGTCTGATTTCTTGTAATTTATCACTATACATGTATACCATTTAAGAGTGTTAGTATAAGAGGTATTCGTCGTGTACTTGTAGACTTGGTCAATGCAATAGATTGCATGGATGAGAATGTAAACAACATTGCACTGGGCAATCGCGATAAATAAAATTGAAGTTAAAGGGACATTTAGGCCCATTCGTTCGACCATTCTCAGATAGGCCTACTGGATTTGTTTTTGGCTAAGCTAATCAGTTATAGTGCTCAGAGCTCACCTGCGCAATTCAAGCCTTCAAATCAATATGTGTCTAGAATTATCCGAGATTGAAAAAGACGACTCATCTTCTCTGGAGACTATGCCTTATATAGAAAAAGACATATAGGTATTATGCGATTTTCGTTCATTACTACTACTTCTGAAGACTAATTACATATATTCAAGACCTAAACCTACTCCAGAAAATGGCGCATCCATCTGAATATGATTATAATATGTATATTGAAAATGTTAAGTAAGTTATTGAATTCCAAATGAATGAAATATTGCTTTGATTGTGCACCGGAGTAACATCGACATTTGTCCACTCTATGTTAATACAGGAGAAGATAATATAATATGAGCAGATCGCTTATTATCCCGGGTGAAAGCGAAGAATCTGAAGTGGTCTTATTCTATAACTGTTAAATAAGAGTTCTTTCCCTTTGACTATTAGTAATGAAAACCGGTTACCGTGAAGTGGGATCGAGTATAAAAAATATTACAGATATTCCTTGATTGACTGAAAGAATGTCGATTTTGTAATTCAAAGATTTGAAAGAAATGTGTTCCAAAATCAGTGACGAATTTTTTTAGTTTTTTAGTTCAATTCAAAAGAACCACAGAACCACAGAACACATGATAGCCGCCGAACTGAAGTATAACGTTACTATTTAAACAATAATGCAGTATGCAGGTGTATCGAAATATTTATCAAACCAGATATTTTCGTGTGAATGATACTTTTTCTGTAAATAGATATGATTATATGTACAAGGTCGATCTAAGGGATCATTTTAAGATCAAACTGATATGTTATGAATAGTATTCAAAATTTAAGTGGAAAATTATTACGACCGAACGCTAATTACATGTTCCTATGTTCAGAATTGAATCGTCGTTTTAATGTAGGTGTTTCTGGAGTGATAATTCCCTCAACCTACAGTAGTAAAACAAGGCCGCTCGGATTGCAGCACTAGAACAGCAGCCAGTCAATTCGTACAGCTATTAATCGGCCGCACCTTACTCTGGACATCAAATATTAAGAAACGTTGATCCCAAGGGTAGAATTCCCCTCGTAAAAGAAAGAAGAAATCTGATGAATATTTTAAATTGATAGCTATTAGACGGACAGAAGTTTTTCTTAGTGATTGGTATTTAGACGAACATTGTTAATTTACTGGTGTAGATTACACGAAAACTGATGTAGGTCTGTATTTTTTTAAATATCTATTTAGATTCAAGGTCGTAATTAATATTAGCCCCCCCCCCCCTCCCTTTGTACACAGCATGGCGTTGCCCGTCTTCAGTAGCTCATTGCAGTGCAGTAAAGTAGAGCTTAAAATTCCATTTCATTTTCATTGTTACGCCAATTTATTCGGACTTTAGGATCCACCTGATTCCTTCTTCATTACTACCTTATAGAACTTATTCATCTTCCTGGTTACTCTCTTCAATAGAAGATTTCTGTTTCGCTCCAAATGTCAGACTTTTTTTTCTATTAACACAGTCAGTGAAAGGAATGTACCCATTGAACTTTGAGCTTTACATTGTTTGTATTATTGAATATTATACGCCTTGTTCAATGGAGCCTTTGTTATGTTTCCAGTTTAGCAGACTTTAAAGGACGTTACACTATTCTGTAGGATTCGATTGTTTGGGGGTATCAGAATTGTTTTTCCTTTTTAATGATGCAGATCTGAGGGGTTTAATTGAAATCGCTTTTCTTGTTCTGATGGGACATTACGCCGAGGCATACTGTGCTACAGGCTTTGGACGTCAAGTATCGTTCGGGGCTTTTCATTACCTTCACTTTAACCGACTGACAGATTCTACAAAGTTGAGTTTTGGTAGCTAGATAGACAGATAGATAAGCATAATATTCAGTATAGTCCACCATAGAGCTGTCGCGCTTACAAACATATCACGGTTTTATGATGGGCGGTGTTACCGTACATTTTCCAGATTATCGCTTGATTATGTTTCCGAAGAGAGCTTGCCCAGGGGATACTGACATTCGTTTCATTCATTACCTCGGGTAGATTCAGATTTACGGAAATGACCGAGATTTGCAGAATTAATTGCAACTAACATATATCGAGATATTGCTTATTCTAACGATCCCATGAGCTGTTCCAGATTTAACTTTAAATCTTTTAACCCGATTATGTATCTTTTATCCGAGGCACGTGTCGACAGCCGAAGAGCTATGTCAATTTAATTGTGCCAAGCATAAACATTATATAATAACTGTGTAGATTATTGAGTGCTACATGAGTTTCGGTTCTTCAAGCGCACTGTATGAACTCGACCTATAAGACACAGTGTGTTGATTGAAGATATTGTGATACGATTAAAAAGTCCTTAGACAGATGTGAATAAATAATAGAATATTTTTTTCATACACTTTCTTTCAGGCGTGAAAGGTCTAATCTCGTATTGAAAGAAAGTGCACGGGTATTTAATTACAAATATGCGGTGGTTGAAATGGGTCACACGCTCTTGCAAGGAACCAAGATACCAGAGAGAAAAATCGATAAGAGTCGTTTAAAAGGCCAAGGTGAAAGAGTAGGATAGGCGACACTCGATATTTTGATGTCTAGCTCGAAGATTATTTACACACAAAACGCACGTCAAGCGACAAAGATAAGAAGGAAAGCCTATTCTACAAAAAATGGTGTTACATGTCCATAAACTGGGCGTTTTATGAAATGATATAAAGAAGAAAGTGTCGACACGAGGTAATATATACTAAAGTACCGAGATAAAGAAGAAGGCTAAGTCGACACGAGGTGCCAAGGTACCAAAGTACCAAGATAAGGAAAAAAACTAAGACGGCACGAGGTAATATATACCAAAGTACCGTGATAAAGGAGAAGGCTAAGTCGACACGAGGTACTATATACCAAAGTACCGAGATAAAGAAAAAAGCTAAGTCGACACGAGGTAATATATACCAAAGTACCAAGATAAGGAAAAAAACTAAGACGGCACGAGGTACTATATACCAAAGTGCCGAGATAAAGAAGAAGGCTAAGTCGACACGAGGTACCAAGGTACCAAAGTACCAAGATAAGGAAAAAAACTAAGTCGACTCGAGATAATATATACCAAAGTACCGAGATAAAGAAAAGAGCCAAGTCGACACGAGGTATTATATACCAAAGTACCGAGATAAAGATAAAAGCTAAATCGACACGAGGTACTTTATACCAAAGTACCGAGATAAAGGAGAAAGCTAAGTCGACAAGGGGTATTATGCCATGCTATCAAGATAAAGAAGAAGGCTAAGTTGACACATATATACCAAAGTACTGAGATAAAGAAAAAAGCTAAATCGACACGAGGTACTATATACCAAAGTACCGAGATAAAGGAGAAAGCTAAGTCGACAAGGGGTATTATGCCATGCTATCAAGATAAAGAAGAAGGCTAAGTTGACACATATATACCAAAGTACTGAGATAAAGAAAAAAGCTAAGACGACAAGAGGTATTATGCCAGGCTACCGAGATGAAAAAAAAAGAAAGCTAAGTCGACAAGAGGTATTATATAGCAACCATGGAGATGAAAAGAACATTAAGGCGTGTCGGTATTTTATTCCGACAGAGACTCAGAATTTATGTTAAAGAGGAAATCGTGGTGTCAAGCCAGAACTCCCTATCTTTATGGATTTCTGACACAAGGTTTACATGAGATTTAATGTGCGTAGTTGTAGTACTTCTCAGTACAGTTGTACGATGAACTAGCTTTCACCGCTTCCTGTACATGCGTTTTACGTCTACTAGTATTAAATATGTACTTCATTGCCTTCTAATTGTTGCAAGTATTGCTCATTGAATAAAAGTTAGACATCTCTTATCAGGGGCACTCGATTGCCGAGTTAAAACAATTTGAAACTGGGGTCACAATGAGCTAAAGCTGTGCTGAATATGTGATATCTGGTTCCAGAAACCAGAATTAGAACAAGCGTAACCTGTTCAGGATTAGATAATGTTTAGAATGGTGATTTATTTGATATACACCCGATTGTATAATATAATAATCTTTAATATATTCCACTCAACAATCATGATATACAAATAATAAATATACAAGTAATGCATATATACGATAATAATAAATGTACAAATAATGAATATACAATAATAAATCAAATATGAATATATACACAAAATGAATATACAAAATATTAATACATTAATAAATATTCACATATTCAAAAGAATTTATTTTTGATTTAAAGCACAAAGCATAGAATGAAGTCAACTATGAACACACTCTCTGAATATCTTAAAATTAATTCATCCTACTAACCTAATAAACTTATCTAAATTATTTACAATTTCAAACATAAAAGAAAATAGCCCCATGATACCAGGTAATAGAAAATAGAGCATGAGAATTCCAATCAGATAAGAGTTACCTTGACACCATTAGATGATGAAAACGGTCAATCGTTTATCTCACGCCCAATGTGTGATATTTCGGAGACTAGTACAAAATAATTAAACCATTACACAAGTCATTAACCAAATTCTATGTCGAATGTCTCAAAGATACCCAGATGAGACAATACGATAATAAAAGTGAATGAAAAAACCCATTTTCTGCTAACAGTCTAGGGCCCACGTAAGCACCATGTGCACAACGTTGTCCCAGTAGAATGTTTGTGAATAGAAGTAGATCTTTGATCAATGATTATTTATTGATATATGATTATAAAACTCGTAAAAAAGATATCATCTTTCCATCTAGAACAGGATGAAGATTGGACGGAATAAATAAGTATCTATATATTAAACATTAAAATAAGCAAAAAATATATCTTAGACTGTAAAAATTATTGTTTGGACGGTGATAATAATAACCCACTAAGACAATGGTTAAAAAGATATGTAGATCGCGTTTGTGGCTTAAACAATGGATTTGTGGCTTAAACAATATACACCCCATGTGCTTTGTGGACGGATAAAAACGCACGTGCAAAATAAAAAAAAATTCATTATTATCTACATTTGGACGGAATATTGATGAGGCATAGTTTGGTTCTTTATTGTACAATATCATTTCATTTCATTTCAATGTGCATATAAAATGGTGTAATATTTGGTGTTTACGACATTGAATTCATTCATCCTCTCTTCCATTCACAGTATCGATATACAACTTCCGTATCAGTTTCGATTGTCATGTTTGTGTACCGATACTTTTCTTTAAAAGTGGTGTTCTCTTTTTGTCGAGTTATTGGTTTTAACATTTTTAATCTTGAATAACACGTCAATCAAGTATTATGATGTGGTGGCATTTTATATAAGATATGGATTAGCTTTATAACATTCAAACTTTCACTCTTTGTACAAAAATCACAGATCTTGGATGAGGTTAGAATTTTACAATTCATAAATATTCATAATATATCACAATATCAATAACACAACACAAAGTAATATAATATTATTATGATCTAAATTAAAACAATCTTCTCAAAGTCCAGACTGCATTATTCGTTTGTTTTTTTTTTCTTCCAGACTTAAGATATTGCATGCGGAAGTAAGACGATGACCAAAACGAAATTTAAAGTCTTGATTTGTGACACTATTAGATTTTATGTCGACAATGACTATATCATTTTATCAATTCATCCAATTGATAAAACGCAATCTTAACGTGTTATGGAAGGAAAAGTTTTGATCAGAATATACATTATTGCTTATAAATCCATCTATTAACCTGGTTTAAAATATTTTAAAAAACACAATATAATGACCACAGAAATTGTAAAATAAGTTGATCTGATATGACCTCTTAATTACGAGAATATTCAAAATGGAGTTTTATGTTCTATTATTGTGTAAAATGGCAGTTAAAATGTGCAACAATTATTATAAAGTATGATATATTCATTGTATTGAAACCAATCTCCTAAGTATTAGGTCTAACATATTTTGCTAGGTGTTCACTCTGTGCAACAAAAACGCGATTTAACATATAGGAAATGCAAACAAAAACCATTAAAAAAAATAAACAGTCTTGATCGTCTTTCTACAATAATTTTGTCATGCTTAATTTAAACTTATTTCTTATTTCTTAAACAAAGATTTTGTTAATAGGAAGATTTGTCTTGCAAACCTTTAAAATATAATTATCATTCGTGTCATGATTTTTAAACATTTCGCAATTTGAATCAAAAACACTTGTTGGTGCGATATTAAAAACCGAAACGAAATAAGAAATAATAATAATACAGAATTACGACTTGAAGCAAGTCCAAGAAAAACAATTTAAAACATTTCTGTAGAAATGTATCATAATGCATTATTTTAGAAGTAAACAAGTTTAATATCTTAATATAATATCTTAAAATATGAAACACGGGTGGAGTGATTCATTCAGCTTATTTACAGTTTTGATTTTCGAAATAAAACAATATTCTTTAATATAAATACAGGGATTGTATAATTAATATGATAAAAGGGAACACAAATATAAGGGATGGTATATGAATATTAAGGATCTATGTACACAATAATACTGCAGTTAGCAAAGATATCTTTAATATCAAAATATCAAAGGTTTTTGTTGTGAAATTTACTTCCTAATGATCAAATGAAATTTGTTGTAGTAAATGGCTTGTTTATAAAATGAAGATCCTGTTATTCGGCAGGATAATTATTTCAATTAATTATTTAAAACTTACTTGAAATGAAAAAAATAATATATTTTGGGAGAATTATAATCAATTTCATTAGAAAGAGACATTTTTATACCCTCTCTAGCCTGGCCTTTATATATTTTTTTTCAGTTTAAAGTAGCTTTAATGTTATTCTTTAGATCATTGAGTTAAGAGGAAGTTTTCCAACCTTACCATTTACTATACATAAGGTAATTCGTGTATGATATTTAATGGTTGAACATATATAAAGTAAAGCAATGAAATATTTTCGAATGACCTTAAATTTGACGAATTAAAATATCGTGATTTGATCCAGAAATATTACAAAAATTTCTCCAAAATTACATTAAATAACTTTAAAATGGTACGAATTGACTGAAAACAAATATCACATGTGACCTCAAAACGCCTGTATAACAAAAATGTTGATAGAAAATGGTATTTACAGGAATTTAAATTAACAAAATCTATATACAAAGAGTTGAAAGACAACGTAATACAGCACAACAGATGAGACAAGACAGACAGACAGATTTCCAAAGGATAAGCAAATTCGTAGTCTTTAGTAGTTAATGACCATGGAATCTTTATCCAGTCAAATCTACGAGTATGAATAATATAAACCTCTGGTGATTTTTCTTCCATAATCTTACTAGCAAATTCAAATTTCATTTTGCTAATTCTGTGCAAGCGACTATATGATCGCCACTTCCTACCTAGACTTTACAATATACCTGTACGTCCAATAATTTTGAGAGGGAGTTCCAGATACAGTAGTTTGATAGAAGTTCAACAAACAAAGCACTTAAAATAATTTACAGATGAATTTAAACTTTGACATTGGCCATATCTTTCATTCTTATTTGATGTTTATTGGACATTTGTTTGGTCACGTGATAGGTTGGGTGCACTGGGTTGCCTTCACTACTTTTGTCACTATTGAGATCAATGTCTGACTCACTGAGATTCTGAGGTACATCATGTCGCATTGGGTCATAATCGTATTCTGATTTTGAGCTAGGTATGATGATATCACTAGCACTATTTCCGTCACTAGCGGCACTTTCCGATTTTACACTTATCTGGGTGTTTTGTCTTTGAGCACAGTTCTTCCGCTTTCGTTTTGACTTACGCATTGAATTTCTCCGTAATGGCAAGAGAAGGGCACATTGGGTAGATCGATTAGTATCGAGATTGTCACCTCTTGGGCTGTCCGATTGGCTGCATTTCATTCCCATAGCAATCTTTTCAGCTATGTGTTTTTCTGGACTAGCGTCACGTGACTTGAGCAACTGGTCTTCCCTTTCCGGTTTTTTCTTATTTCCGTTTTTCCTCTCCGTTCTGGGAGTCGCATAACTAGCATAACTCGCTTTACTGTTGTCTTTAAAAATATCTGGAAGCTTCACGTCTGAATCGTCTTTACTGCACCGGGATGAATCTGTTTCATCTGGACCATTTTCAAGGTCATCTATTATTCCACCGATATTTGAAGGACAACTTGGGGAACGACACAACTCGCGCCTATCTTTTTCTTTCCTTCGATTGCTGGTAAGACTAGAAACACTTGTGGATATTGAGCGACCAATACTGGGAAGTTTTACCGGGCTTGGGGTTAACGAAGAATTTTCATTGGATAAAAGCATGCGTCCATTTTGGTCTCTCCGGTAATCTGTATCAGAGTCACTACTAGGTGTTGCCCGAAGGTTTATTGGCGGGAGAAACCCGTCGTCTTTCTTACTCGGCATGCATGCGGGTCTTGTGGTCGAATTCGGTGGTGATTCTTTTTTAGTTATGGACATGTCCAGCTTGTATAAGTTATGATAAAGATATCTGTTCACATCATTACTGCTTTATCTGATCCTGGAAGAGAGAAAAAACAAGTTGTGTGAAATGGCCACGTTTTGAAGATACCTTAAAGATTTCGGTATCCTGGAGATGTTTTTAGAGCGTCGTTTCAAAATTATATTTACCGAAGAACCATTAGCTAAGATATCCCGACCAATGTTTCGTGTACAGGTATGATTAGTAAACCCTTGTTCGACATTTTTACACAGCTATACATGGTTATGGTTGAATTAAAGACCGGATCCGCAGATCAATGAGTTTGATCGCACTTGTTTGAATCTTGATAATTTCCACACGTTGCTACGGCCAGTACATCTCTTTCCATACCATGAAGAAATTGCTCAAATGGTGACTGACCCAGAAAGTTGGGGCCGTCAATTTTATTTGTCAAACATAAAAAGTTTTTAAAAATTAAATAAATTTAATTTTTGATTTTTTACTTGAATTGTTTGTATTGTGATCTTTGCACACACTTGGTGTATGACACCGAGGTTTTAAGTATCGATAACTGTCAGACGATTTGTCTGTATAAGGATTATGAAATTGGAGTTGAATGGGTGATTATATGTATAGTGTTGATATAATGGACTATATCATGTTTATCACACGTCAAGTATTAATCTTATTATTCTTAAACTAAAGCCTACAACATACTACTTATACAATATACCATTCCGGAGGTCGTACCATTGGTTGCAGTGGCTCATTTTATATTGTCAAATATTGGTAAACATTATACATTTAATTTAGAATTGTTAATGTTGACATTAGTGAACAACACTGAATTAACCCTGTGCCAGAGTCTTCTGTTGAATAGTAACTTGTTACTGTCCACTTCGGCCTATTCTTTCGTAATTTAAATTATATATTGTTTCAACCACTCTTACCTAACCTCTTGTACTCGAAAAGCTTCTGTACGTGGCATATAATCATTTACAGAGGGTCCACATAGCTAATATTGTTTGTTTGGTAGAGTAAACTAACTTTATGTGTCAATAGTATTTCGTTAGAAAGCGTCTTTTACATAACCAAAAAAGAAAGGATATACAGAATCCTCGATAAGACAGAGAGCCCACATAGCTAATATTGTTTGTTTGGTAGAGTAACCTAACTTTATGCATCAATGTTTCGTTAGAAAGCGTCTTTTGCTTAATCAAAAAGGAACGGATATACAACTCCCAAAATAAAGGGGAATCTTAAGTTTGAAGCATTTTCCAACATACCAGAATATATGTGTTTGATGTTAAACTTTTCTGTCGGTGGTCGGTGCCATCAATAACTACCACATATGTATTCGCCTGATGATAATAGAATCTATCAATATTATACGTGGTTCTAAAGCCATATGTCGGGTTATATAAGGTGTAAATTGACAAATATTGGAATTAACCTCTGGAGACGAGGCCTGTATATTATACTTATTAATTATACATAGTAGTCTAAACTATCGTAACATGTTCCAATGTACAGTACAAGAAAAATCAGATGAAAAACTTACAGTAAAAACAGACTCATTTCGGAACATCCAAATGTACCAAATGGTTGAAACGACAAAAAACCCATCGAATCGAACGAATCGAAACTACAAAAAATAATTAATGATTCCCCGTCGTGCGTACAAAATTTAATTATATAAAAAAACGGAAGCCACATTCTTAACAAACTCTTTAATAACAAATCTTTGAAAATAGGGATGCCATATAATTTATTCACTGGCTCTTTTGTAGAGAGAAGGAAATGATTTAATTTGGGGTTGGGGGGGGGGGGGGGGGGGGGGGTTTTGGAAAAACCGAACCAAAAGCATTCGAATATTTACCAAAGAAAAGCTTTGTTCTTGATTTGAAAGTAGACAGTTCAAGATTATTCTTAGTTAAGGTTGTATTCTGGTGAAAAAGAAATACATCTATGTAAAATAATTGTTTGAAATTTTGATTTTCGGATTCGAGACATTTTATTTCAGTTAAATGACTGTCACGAATTCAATCTCGCAACTCAAAAACTTAAACAAATCTGGTTTTAATCTCATTAGCTCTAAAAGGCATCATATTATGTAGGACCCAAAACTAAAATTCGTCGAATCAAACACACAGGTACAGAGGCGAGCGACGCCTGCAAAAAAGTCGTCCTTTAATTCAAGACAACATACCAGTCGAGTTCCATTTTCTTATTGATGTATCAGAATAGTTTTCCGACACTTTCAACCTTCAATTTTAGTTTTAAATCGTATAACTTAAACTTTAGTCAAATACCGAATGTTACTTTACATATTGAACTTTTTTTTATTTTCCAAGTTAATGACATGTCAAATTCAATTGCAAAACATAAAAATAAGATCACAATTCACAGTTCTAAGACAACAGAAATCTTCAACTTTAAGAAACTCGAGTTGGATTGTGACGCCAATTTAAGCAATTCACTGATGTTGAAAATAAGAATCATTTTGTTATATCTGATGGCAACTAATAATATTATCTCAAAAAGTTTACGTTATTTTAAAATTGGTAATACAATCTTAAGATTTGAAGAAAAATAAGAGATCAGTTTCTACGAGATAATGATTAAGGAAATATTAAAGTTTCATATCAACTTACATATTACAAGGTTAAAATCCCGATAAATATTATTTAATCCACGATCGAATTGAAACAGTGCATGAAGACGTTCTTCATTCCTCGAGCAGACGACTTATCACGACTGAATGATCCACTCCTTTACATATATAAACATACAGTAGTATATAACACAACAAATCAATTTGTATCGATCACCTCACTGGGTAATCAAACTTATAGGCTAGATTATCAAACATACAAATCATCGAATGTTGACAGTCCGGTATGTTCGAATATGCCACTTGATGACAGTATGACGTATTTGATTAACAAATCTGACACAAACAGTATTAGATTAACCAGACATAAACTAATCGGTGAAAAATCAAAGGATTATATCATCACTGGATAATCCCGATCTCTGACAAATTGCCTTACTATTAAATACTAAATGACTAGTTAATCGAAATTAGAATGGATTAAGCGGATTATCATCCATTAGTTGCGACTGGGTAATCAGATATAAACAATAGCATTAACAAATTGTCGTCACCCATTTAAAATTACCTTGTACTGGTACCACAGATAATATGATAATCCGATTATTCCTTACCATGGGATCAAGCTACGCACTTCAATCAGTGTTAATCAGAAAATCTGTTAATCCACTACAAAGGTTAATAAAGCATATCAAATATGAGACACATTGTCTACATTTCAATTTTACACATGATTTCTTCAGATACAAAGTTTTTCATTCAAGCGATTTCATACGTAACGATATTATACCAGTATAAAACATAATAGAACTTTAAATATAATTTCAGAATATGTAGAAATATACTCAGATTGACAAATGAAACTTTTTTTAGTGACAAAAATTAAGCGAACTATTTCATTAATTGGTGTTTCATATCATTATGTATTGCATATAATTAAAAGTTTTAACCATTCATAAATATCCATGTATGTACAGTGGGGATAAACCAAACAGACTCATTGCAATTCTGCTGGTAATTTAGTTAATTATGAATTAATTATGGACATGTGAGACAAACTGGTATTTTTCAAATTCATTAGAACACCTCTACTTTCTACTCATATCATGAAAATAAGGGAACCCATCTATAACTAGCTTTTTACATGAAAAAATATATGCCGAAATAAACCCTACAACAGGGAACAAGAAAATCATTTTTTATTATGGTGCAATTCAATTCATTTGGACCTTCTTTGTAATGTGTATCTTAGATGTTAATAGAGATCACAATTCTCGACAATTCGAATATTTGCATCAACCATTTTATGATTTTTTGAATAATTGGAACGTACATCCAAATTCCAATCAAACAATTAGCACACCCTCAACCGACTCAACAAGCCTACTATTAAGAAGTAGAGTGGAATTGTAATTTGAGATTGCCATACATGCCCTTGGAGCACTCAGAAATTGCGTTTCGAGCTAATGTAGTGGGTGGATCTACTGGATGGCGGTAGTAATTAAAAATTGATCAGGTGGAAAAAGAAAATTACCAATTATATTATGTTATTAATATTAGTTTATCATTATATACATGTATTGCCCTATACCGCAAATACAGTCGATAATGTTGTAATTATACCATCATTAACTAACTCCATACTAAGTACTGTTTGTGATTGTCGTTATGCTAGACAGAGTGCCTACTCATTCTACGAACATGTCACTTTGTCAGTTGATAATTTGATGCGAGGTTACCATTGTCATATACTCACACTTGCTCCAAATAATTAGGTAATGCCGCACTGTCTACCAAAAGAAGTAGTCACATTTAAACAGCGACATAACAGAGCAAACGTACTTAGCAATTACAAAAAGCACAACAATGCCATGGAATTTAGCAAACAAACTAAGCAAATCAAAGCAAAGGTACGTAGCACATACACAACACAAAGTGCTTAGCATACACAAGCAATGCAATTGTACTAAGCAAATAAACAAAGTAAAGCGCAAGTACTTAGCAAATGCACAGGGTAAAGCACAAGTACTCAGCATATACACAGGGTAAAGCACAAGTACTCAGCAAATACACAGGGTAAAGCACAAGTACTCAGCAAATACACAGGGTAAAGCACAAGTACTCAGCATATACATAAAGAAAAGCACAAGTAATCAGCAAATAAATAAAGCAAAGCAAAGCAACGGTACATAATTATAATCATAACTGATATTTCTTACAACAGCAAAACGCCACTTTAATCCAGTTATAAAAATTTATTTTGTAACTGACGTATGTCATAGTTTATTGTAATCTCGTCTATTAAACCAACTTGAATATTACCGATGAGATTATACACAAACTGTTGATGTCATTCTCTTACGACAATCAAACTGAAACCGCAATAAACTCAGTATATCAATA